ACACAATGATGTCTGACACAGGAGTGAGGATGAAGCGAAGGTATGTCATTGAATTCATCCATGTGGAAAAAAATGGCACCCACTGCCATCCATCGACGCTGAATGTTTATGGAGATCAAACAGTGGATGTGTGCAAAGTGAGGCAGTGGATGGTGCACTCCAGCAGTGGTGACAGGGACAGTGAGTCACCTCCTCTGGTACAGATTTTTATGAGGATGGGATGCAGGCTCGTGTTCATGCATAGCTAAGTGGCAAATATGTTTAAAAACTGTGTTTTGTATCTGAGAATTTGATTTATCAAATTGCGTCTTTACACTCTTGTAACTTGTGTAGTTTCCGTGGAAATAAATAGGAGGCATTACTTTCAGAGCAACCTACATTTGTCATTACTTCTCCACCCACTGTAGTCTTTTGTCTTATTAAGCTGTACTCAGGGAAACCCTTAAAAATGTTCCAGATCACTGCTGCTGCAAATTAGATCTAGTCCTCAATTCAGCACTGGATAGCTAGTTATATTTTTTGTTTTCTGTTCTAAGTCAAATCTCCAAGTCTTTTGAGATTAAATTTTGTAATGCTGTAGAAAACAAGCTGCTGGATTCCTAAGCAGTGTGTTGTAAATAGCCTGAAGTGAGTTGTATGTTTCTTCAAAAATAAAACAAACAACCACCACGAAGAAACACCAACACAATATAGGACAGATAATAGCATACTCTATAGCTGGTTTGCAGAAAAGGAATCTGTAGTTCTTTTGCTACCCTTTTCAGACACAAAAGATGCAAGAACCAGTGTACCCTGTTCATATGGCTGTGGAATTTAGAAAGCTGGTTATTGCTGTAAATAAGATGTCAGTAGCATCACTCACCATCCACTGTCAATTCAGATTAAAAAAGGTGAACAATGTTTTACTTGGTATGGATGTTTTGTGTGTGTTTGCAGATAATGACTGAAGTTCAATGTAGGTAAATAAAGCAGATGAGAATTTCATGCATGCAGGTTTGTGTCTCTCTTGCTGCACTGTAAACACATTGCTGTTCTTGATTAGGTTACAATCAAAACTGAAATAGCTTTGGCTATGACCTGGGGTATTTGAATGGTAGTATCCAAACATTCATTTTCATGGATCAAACAACTGAAAAAAACCCCACAACTCAGGGATTTTTCATAAATGTTCAGTGTTGTATGAGCTCTGTTTAATATTAGAGCCAATTGTGTACTGTAGCAGCACACTTACCATTTCCGTGTTGAAAAATGATCCTCACAAACCTTTCCATCATGGGTGTCCAGCTCCAATTTATAGGAGGGAGAGGAGGTTCTTTGATATGTGTATACCTGATGGCGAGATTAAGACACAACGGGTCAAATGTTGGTCTGACCAGATTATTACAAATCCTTGTCGTTTAGGAAGATAGGGAAGGGAAGATGGGCGATAGAAAAGACAGGAAATAAAAGCAGGGAGTCTCTGTAGGTTTGTAGTTCAGTCATTGATCTCCAGTAGTGGTGGGTCGTTGGGTGTTACTGTTCAGTTGATGATGACAATGACAACCGTGACAACTGTGACAATGGTGATACTTCCCAATGGCAATACAAACTTACTTATAAGTCCAAAGTAGTTGAGTCAGCTGTTTTTGGAGCGGCAGCTTCTGGCTTTTGTGTTTCAGCAGGAAATCCTTTTGTTCCCATCTTCCGGGCCTTGCCAGCAGGTAAGAGGGAGCAGCGAGGCACCAACTTGTATCTTGCCTTCACAGGATACAATGGTATCATCCCCCCATCTTAAATAGCAAGCTGGAGTCACAAGCCAGATCTTCTGCCAGTAAACAGTCCTGAACACTCTCTTCCGAAGGCAAACAGCTCCAGAGAAATGCTTTCAAATGTGAAACTGTCCACACAGTGATGCTGATTGCCACACAGCAACACCCACCTCTCATCTCCAAGATAAGTCAGAGTCTTATTGGAAGAAATGCCTCAGGAAGCGAGCTTTGAGCCAAAAACAAAGAAGGATTCATACACCACCAGGTTTCTCAAAGGTTGCTTGAAATTGATGCATAAGTGACCGCCCACGATGGAAAAGAAAAAAAAAAGGCATAAGGGAAAGAGGGGAGTGGGAAGGGGGAGTTAATCCATCAGCAAGCAGGCACTTATCCTCGTGGTTGTTGGTCCCTTTTTTATCCTTCTGCCAACGTGGCATTCCTGGGTACTTGGGTAAGAGTCATGTGCAGCACCCCCTGAGAAGGCCATCTTCCTCAAGGTAAGCACACATAAAGGACTGCTTCTCAGCCTGGCTTATCTCTCTCTTGCCTGGTGTATCTCTCTCTTGTTGCCCCTGGCCTGCAAATCTTTAGTCTGAAGGCTTTGCCAACTTTGACCAGCACTTGCCTGGACTTGTCTATCTGTGTCCCTCAGACACAGGATTTCTCAACCTTTGCCCAGGGCGCATCCATCAGTGTTCCTCAGCAAGCTTTGAGACAGTGGTGCAAAAAATAATCTCTTACAATGGCCAGATTGTGAAAGGAACTTGGACGTAAGTGCCAAATGCAGAGGTAGTGTTTGTAGGGTCAGTGTTTGTTATTTAAAGGGAACTATTTTTATGTACGTGACAGCTGAATTTCCTCCAAGTAGCTCACTAAATATGGATGCTTTCAGTTAAGGTACAGCTTGTTGGGTACTGATATTATTTACCTGTGACAACTGCATTGTGAAAGCTTTGTACAAAAGAGTGTTTTAAGCAAATGAACATGGAAATCTGAAAGTAATTTATTAAAAGGGGCTTCAGTGATTAAGGGAATCCCACTGTTAATCATGACATTTTAGTGGAATCTGTGTTTGTTCTCTTCACTGAATAACTTAAAACCAGTTAGAATGAGTACTAGACATGTACTTATGAAAATGTTAATTTTCAATTGCTAAGTTGTAAGGATTTAGGAGAAAGAAAAGAGGAAGAAAAGGACAATTCTTCTATCCTTCTGCTCTGCATAGATCAGCATCACTTAAACCATTCTTTTTAGTCACTTGTCTAAGAACATTCTAGGCTGGAGAATGCACAGCCTCCACACAACCATCTTTTCAGCTTATTCTGTATCATTGCTGTTAGTAAGGACGGGTTTCCCTGTCTGAGTACCTGGGACATTTCAGCTCTTCAGGTTCTTTCCATATACACACAGCCACACTCAATTGGGTTCACAATCCTGGCTGGTTTTCGCCCTACTGAGACAACATCCAACTCCATAAAAATCAGAAGAGACTGAGGTAGGAGTTGTGGAGAACTGAGATGGTTTGCTTATTTTGGGTAAATTTGATATGTAAATGAGGGCACCATAAACTGTGATATATGGAATGTAATTTCTCTTCCAAAATCTGCTAGCATTGTAAATTTAAATATTCTCACTAGTTTTGTAACCTTTTTGTTTTCCTTTTAACAACATTCTGTGGCAGTGAATTTCATAGTTTGTTTATACATGGTATGGAAAAACTATTTCCTTTTATCAGACTTGAATTTGTTGTCTTCCTCTTTCATCTACTGTCCCCTTTCTTGCCCATTCAATTATATAGAGAACAAAAGCTCTCAATATGTTTTCTCTGTGGTATTCATTATTTTTTTTTTGTTATGTACATCCCCTCTTGCTGATATTCTTTCAGAGAGGAACAATCCATTTCTTTTTAGTTCCTCTCAAATGAGATTTTCCTCATCCTTCCCGGAAGCCTGAGTAATTTTGCAAAACAGTTTTTTGAGATGCACTGTTATTACACAGTGTATTTAAAGGAAACCAACAATGCTGCTTATTTATACAACAGAATTCTAATATTTTCCCTGCTGTTTTTCATCTCAATTCATATTCATGTTAGTGACTTGTTTACTTTTGTTTGACTGCACCCACACATGGAATTGAAATAAACGAATTATATTTTTCTTTATCTGAATATGCTTGGGATGAACTGGAGGTTTCATTTCCATTCTTGAACCCAAAGCTGAGTGTTTTATTAAGTTTCTGTGCTGATGTTGAAAAATATATGAGTGATGCTATTGTTTATTTTGTCTTTGACAGCTAAATACTACTTTTTAATGAACTTTAATTAAGAGCCTGGGCAGACTCCTGTGAAATTCTATATGGAATAGAACTCGCTGCATTGATACTTTTCATTGCCATAGATCTTTAATCTTCTAGTTTTTCCACTTTTTATCACATACGGCATTTTACTTCACGACTTTTCAAAGGTTTTTTTTTTTTTTCGGATAGTTTTCTTCCAGATGAACAGCTGAAAAAGCTCAGTAAAGACTATTGAAATATAAGGCAGTTTGTGCTGCAAGTTAGCCCACGCAAAATAATTTTGAGTGTACACCGATGAACTAAGTCTTTAAAGGTGCTCTTGAACTCTATGTGATATAGTTGTTTTGAAGTCAGTTACCTTCATTCACTGGAGGCATTCCTATTTTTTTTATTTTCTGTGCTAGACAGAAAGGCTATAGATGTCTTTGCAACTTAAATAATTAAACCATTCTAGCTTGTACACTCTAATAAATGATGCAGTTCTTACCTAAATGGACATACAAGTCAGATGTCACCTTTGACATTAACTTCTTAGCAAGTGAACTTGAATGTGCTAGACAGAGCCAGCAAAAAGTTTCGAAAACAGGTTTTCGCAGCTTTACTTGTTTGATTGAAAACGTCTGATTGAATGGTTGCCACAAACTAATGCTCTTTAGGGATCTGCATGGTTTTTTTTTGCTCTTGTCTTTCCTGTGATTTCTTTATTCTAAAAACCTTATTCAGTATTTCATTTGAGAAGATGTATAGGAAGACTATGATACATGATGTTTGTAGAGTTGATGTGACTTTAAAAATATTTTTTGTGAACTTGTAAGTTATTTTTCCCTGTGCTGGTGAAGTGCAAATTAATTTTCAGCTAAAGGCTTTAATGACCATGAATCATTTATATTGGCTGCCACAGGAACATTTTTGTTAATTGAATGCAGTCTAAAGGTATTACATGGCATGTTTTTTCAGACATTGATGAATGTGCAACTGGAAGGCATAGCTGTGCCAATGACACTGTTTGCTTTAACTTGGATGGTGGGTATGACTGTCGATGTCCACATGGCAAAAACTGCACAGGAGACTGTATCCATGAAGACAGAATCAAGCACAATGGTCAGATTTGGGTGCTGGAGAACGACAGATGCTCTGTCTGCTCATGCCAGGTCAGTTGAAATAAAACCAGCTGCTTCTGCAAATGTGGTGGAAGGGATGACAGGAAAAATAATATGATTCAAGTGAAATTCCTGTTTTAGGTGCTTTTTCATTTGTGTATGTGGTGCTTCACAGAAATGGAGTTTTGGGGACAGCTTCTCCCTTCAACCTGCATGAACAGAGATTCCATGAAGTTTCTCATATAATACTGGCAGAAGGGGAAGAGTACTGTTTTGTTAGCAAAGATGCTGCCTATCTTTTCTGGGTGGGAGTAATGTCATTTTCATGCAAAGAAATTATCCAGGCACATACTGGTGTTGATGACTGACACCAGTATCTTCAGCAGATGGCTATAAATAGAGGTCAGTGCTGCCTCTGCTTAGCTTTCTCAGATGCTTGTTGTAGGAAGCCCACAAGCTAAATGCAAATGAAGATTGAAGAGCCAATACACTGCTAAAAAATCCCGAGCATTTCAGAAATTCAATTTTCACTGGCATGAATTTAATTTCTCACTAGCTATCATCATTTTTAAATGAATAATTATAAAAGAGAGGGAACTGATCTAGAAGTTTAGCAGGTGATTCAAGCCATGCCCATACAAAAATGATATAGCTCTATGCAATCCATTAAAATTTGACCCTTGGTAAAGACACGCTTGAGTTTCACCACCTTAGGCTAGAATCGTCTGAAAGTTGATTGTACAAAGGATTTATGTAAGATAGCAGGGGAACTTTATGGTAGTTACTGAGTGTTTTGTGGTTTCTAACTCTCTGAATTGTATTTCAACAAAGGTATTGTATTGTGGAAAAGCGCACAAGCTGGTAGTGGTTTACAGTCATGCCAACAAATCATATTTTGGTGCAAGAATTGTAGGAGTCAAGCAGATTTCTGCCATCACTCTGTATCTGTCTTCCAACAACAGAGTGGATACGTGATGTGCCGGCGAATGGTCTGTGACTGTGAAAATCCCACTGTTGACCTATTTTGCTGTCCTGAATGTGACCCAAGGCTCAGCAGTCAATGTTTACATCAGAGTGGGGAGCTTTCCTACAACAGTGGTGACTCCTGGATACAAAACTGTCAGCAGTGTCGCTGCTTGGTAAGGCTCCTGATTACAGAGGAATAAGCAGGAGGAAAAAAAGGACATGAGATGTGCTAATCTCTGAATATTCATTCTCATATATTAACATCTATTTAGATCCCTCTGGAGTATGTGTATAATCAAAATCTGACTTTCATGGATATTTATCAGTATTATTAAGTTCCAGTCAAAAATGCATTTGGACATAATAGACATAATAGAAATTATTTAATCACAAAGATTGTTTTAGCAAAGTATGTAGGTCATTTGAGTATGACACCTATGCAGTAATACTCATGTTTTCATTCATTCAGAGGCTGATGAGGCTGTATAGGGATATTTTAAATATGTATTCATTATCACAGTTGATAATTTCAAAGATGTTGACAGACTAAAACATTTTTATTCACTCAGACATTTCCAGTAACAGAAAAATTAATAGGTCTTGATGCATTCTTCATATTAATGAAATAAGGTTTGAGAAAAAAATTATCTTTTGAAGCTTGTGATCTTTTTCCTGGGCAGGTATTTCATAGTCTTAGCAAACCTGTACTGCATGATGGTATACAGGGAATTGCCATGACAGAAAAAAATCCCAAGATAAAAGCAACTAGCTTTTATCACAAGTTATCTCCAAATGTAAAGCCTAGTTCAGCTTTTCCTTGTCAGTGTACCAAGAATAACAGCCCAAAACCAATTTCTGTAGACACTGCTTTCGGTGTTGCCACTGCTAAAATAGATTCCCAGGTGTTTCATTAGAGGTCTTAGAAACAAAACAAAAAACTCCTGACAGTTTGGGATCTCAATAGATGTCCCTTTATTCAAGATGCTACTTCTTATAAAGCTTATATTCTTTCTGTTGTCACAGTGGTTTTTAGGTGACAATGTATTGTCTGCTCCTTGTCGTGTCCATCACTACAAAAAATAAATCAAAATATCAAGATCAGTAACTGGTTTTAAGATTGCTTTCATTCTTTCTATCATGTGATTCAAAAAGAGAGGAAAATTGATACAGATGAGAATTCTGTGAAGGAGTAACTTCAACAATAGTTTCTGCAACAAGAGGTGTAAAATTGAAGATATGGCAAACCTCCGGGGATTTTTTTCAGCTATTGTACTGGTATTGAACTCATAATCCTCAAAGCATTAGGTTCACTTTTGTGAATACACTTCTTTCCTTGGGAGAAATGCTATTCTCTTCCTCCCCTCTCAGTTCTTGACAGTCTGTGTTAGGATGAGCTGAATAAGTTGGAGGTCAGAGACAGATCTGTTCCAAAACAAACTGGTGTTAATGATATCAGTGAACTGTTCCCTTTGACTGATAGATCTGCAACTTTGTCCCTTCTCCAGAATTGAATGAAAATTCTCCCAACTTCTAGTAACAAAGTGAATAATCAGACTTCTTAAGGTCTGTTACAGGTGTACAGTAACTTCCCCAACAACATGCTGGCCCCAAGCAAGTCTCCCTTTTGTATTTTTCATGCTCTGTACTGAACCCGTCATGCAACATGCAGAAAGCATGATTAAGTTTGGAAGCCAGGTAATCAGTTCATAACCTCCAAAATGGATAGTAAGCCAGTGGAGGTCTTCTCGCTGAGAATGCTGTGATGTTCCGTGTTCAATTGGGTTGCTGGTAGCTCAACACCCTCAGCCAAGCCATAACCTCGGAACATATAAGCTCTAACGTTACCTTGAGCTGAAGAGTTGAGGGATTATACTGGAAACTAACACTCTCAATAGAAGTAAAGAACTGAGGAAGTGGAGACTTCAAAGCACTTTTATAGTGAGACCTGTTATGGTTTCTGTCTTTCATACAAGTAGGACATCTCAAGGACAGGTCCATATTTTGTATTTTGCAAGGTCCACGGAGAAGTTCAGCTGCAGCTTGGTGCAAAGTCTAATGGACTTACCCGGTAGCAAGCAGAGAAAGCAGCTAGCTTGCTTTGTCTCCCACAAGCAATAAATGCTAGTGTTCTCCGCACTGTCTTCTGAATAGGACCAGATAGAGAAAAGCCAGCGAACAAACATAATGTTGAATCAGAGAAATGGGCAGGGAAGCAAAACAACAGCTAATAATTTTCTCTTGTTCTCATACTGTTTTTCAACAGCAGGGAGAGGTTGACTGTTGGCCCTTGCCATGCCCAGAGGTGGACTGTGAGTTCAGTGTCCTCCCTGAGAACGAGTGCTGCCCACGCTGTGTCACTGACCCCTGCCAAGCGGACACCATCCGTAATGACATCACTAAAACCTGCCTGGATGAAACCAATGTTGTTCGCTTCACTGGGTCTTCTTGGATAAAGCATGGCACAGAGTGCACACTCTGCCAATGTAAGGTAAGGAGCGTAAAAATTAAGCTGAGATGCTGCTTTTCTAGCTTGTTTCTGTGCACATAAATATTAATGCATTGCGTCCAGTCAGTTGATGTCTGCACTTGTTTAAAAGCAGAGGATATTACATTAAAAATGTTCAGTTTTGCTAACTTCACTTTTGCATGTGCTGGAATGATGGTTTAATGTGCTAGCAGGTCAGATGTAGAGCAACAGCCTACGCTGCAGTGGGCTGCACACAAGTCACAGAGCTTGGCTTTTTCGCAACAGCTCAGGTCAAGCTTGATTGTGGTTCTTACTGTACAGCTGTATGCTATCTGGGAAATATATAAAGAAACAAATTGATATGTAAGGTTAAACTTCAAGAAATGCATTCTGTGTGATACTACAGTTTTCAGAATGATTTGATTTGTTCTTTGAGAATAGTCATTGCATTTGAGAATGATGGGACTAGTCACACAGTTCTATAGCTTTAAAATTACTAGTAGGAATCTTCATGATGTAGAGAATATTTAGTAGTTTTGTAGTCAAAGGAAGTGATTGAGAGAATTTTTTTTATGGCTCTGGGCTGATGTGAACTAAAGCTGTGAGGGAAAAAGATGTTAAAATTAGTTTTTCCATTAAAAATAGACCCTGTATGGTGTAGAACCAATACTGAAGAATGAAAAAGAGTGATCCCACAGTAGACAAGGAGAGAGAGGAACAGGATTCATCCAGATATCTTTAATTTTTACTGAAATTCGTCAAGGTCTTTATCCTATGTCCTATCCAAGGAAGAAACTTCCCAAACTCTAGCACCTGGTACCATTAACTACTTAGAAGGTTGCACATAAAAATAACTTGACTTCAACACCTCCTTTGAGAAAAGTGGGGAGTAACTGATGATGGAGCAGAAGGTGTCAAGCAGCACCTTCCTCCACTACTTTTCTGACATTATGCTGCATGAAGCAGCAGTTGCTATTGTTGGGAGGTGGTTCTTTTACTATGGTAGTAGTGCGTGCCAAGTGTGAGAACATTTGGGCATTTGTCTTAATGTCAGAACGGGTGGATGGTTGGGAGAAAGTGCTGTGATCTGACAGTGGCTAATGGTTAGAAAGCCAGATGCTGCTCAGAGGATGTCGAAACAGGCTTATGTGCACAAACCCATATTAGTGAGAACTGCAGCTGGTGCAATATAGCAATTCCAGTGCTAGGAGATACTTTTGGAGGAATGAAATTTAGGGAAAAAATGGAATTTTTAGAAAGAAAAAAAAGTGACCTAGCAGTTTGGCTTGGGTGGCTTTCTGAGGTTTTTGCACCTCATTTTCCCTATCTGTAAAACAAAATATTATGCATGATTCTTATGTAAAATAGTTAAGATTAAGTGCAAGGAAATGTGTTCTTGTTGTAGCACTAATCAGTGACAATGCAGAAATAACATACCATTTCTAGAGGTGGCCAACAGTGTGTTGCTCCCCTCTGCCCTTTACTCTGAGTCTCAGCAAAGACTGAATCTTTAAGCATGGACTAATTTCTATTCCATGTAAACACATAGATAGTCTAATAAAATATATTGCTGCATTGTGAATATGTAGAAGATGTTAACATATACTCTGCCAGACCCTTAGATTTAAAAACAGCTTGGACGAGAATCTGCTTAACAATGAAGATGTAGCACTTTGGCCCCCTCTCTTCTGAGCAATTGTCTTTTTGAAATTCACTATCTGTTTGTAGTGGTAACATCTTCATATTGTAGTTTTGCACACAAGAACCTCTCTCCTCCAGATCAGGTTAATGCTATACCCAATTTTATAGTTCTCTTGTTTGCCCTGTGTCTCCTCATTCTTTCTTGCAGAGAATCACACTGAAGGTCAAAGCGCGAGGCTAAGCCTCTCTAACCAAGCTATAGCAAAATAGGTTTACACAAATCCTTTAAGAATTCAGAGAGCTTGGCATCAGCTAAAGCAGAATTAGCCACAAAACCATTTCAAATCACAAGAAGGTGAACATTAGGATTGTCTAACCTTCTGTAACAGGGGAAAGAAAATATTCAAATGATTCAGACCTTTGTCTTTAGTTATTCCTTGCAGTTTAAATATATTAACTAAATATATTTGTACCAATTTAAAAATAATACGAATTTTATTTGCACTGTAAGACTCAATTGAAGAAAGTAGCCGAAAAGTAGGAAAAAAATCTTCATAGCTTAATCATGTCCATAGGTAATAGGTACCCTTAATTTCAAATATTTTTAGAGAAATGTCCAGGCTATCAGGAAAAACGGCATGGATTAATATTTGCTGGTGTTGCAGCCAGGAAGAATCAAATTGAAACATTCAATGCTAAATAAAACCCAGAGTCCCTTCTGTCTAATCTAAATAACTCCCAGCTGCCCTGCCTTGTTCAACAGCTTTGTTACTTGGGCAAATGCCTGATACCTTTATGGGAGGAGTGTTTCTTCTGCTGATTCTCGCTCCTTTGAGCTTGACTGTTGTAGCTTTGGGATGTAGGCCACAGGAAACCAAGCAATTAAAAGAATTATCGTAGCCTATCCCTTAGACATCAGAAGGACACAACAGGAATTTCATGAATATATTCAAAATTTGTATTCATCTGTACTTTACACTATACCTTAAAATCTGATATGAGTTTTCAAATGGCTGAGACTGTTAAATTGACTGAGCTTGTACAAGATGCTAAATGTTCCAATTCTCTTTGTTCTTCCTTTAGAACGGCCACGTCTGTTGCTCAGTGGATCCACAGTGCCTTCAGGAACTGTGACACCAACAACCATCTCTCACAAGCAGTTTCTGGTTAAAGAATTTTCTGTCACAAAAGACCATTAGACCAAAAATAGTACAAAATTAAAACTAAAATTGAGTTGTTCTTGTCCATCTAAAGTGCAGAAATGTGATGAACTCAGAATTTTTAATCAGAATGAAATATATGGGAATCAAGACAAGCTCAAATGTGTAAACCTCTGAATGAGGTCAGACCCAAATCTTCTGGCTATCTGTCTGACTTCATTATGCAGGATATTAGGTGAGTATAAAGTGACACATTGCAATGCTACCTATAGTGATGTCAGGATTCAAAGTCAACCAGGAGCTCTTACAGGGTCTTCCAAAGCTTTGAGAGTCCAACACTTGCCCAGATGCAGAGATTTTTACCTAAGCATAATTGGTTCTTCACAAATGTGTTTGAATGTTCACTGCAGAGTATAGCAGATGTTTGAGTAAAAGGATGAAGCCTTCAGGAGAACATAGCAGCTAAGATGTGATATGTACAGTATATGTGCTGAAAACAAAAAGATACAAGCTGTTGTAAAAACAAACAAAAAATAAACAAAAAACACTGAAAAAAAAAGAAACTAGAAACAAAAATTGTAATGCACAGGCATGGCTTCTTAATGTTTTCTGATGGGAAAAGTCATCAATATTTCCTTGTTTTACTGCACTTACTATTATTTCTTGATTGAATTTGTTCAGTATAAGCTCGTTATTGTGCAAATTTAAATAAATATTTCTCTTACCTTAAGTTTCTGTTTGTGTCCTCTTTCTTTTTCAAGGGTATCATTTTTTTCACGTGTGTCGTTGTTTTTAATCCTTTGTTATCATGCCTGGGCAGCTGGGCAATTCTACTGTTCCTCCACATAGAGAAGAATACTGGAATTAGAAAGGAGCATGTGGGAGTTTTTGCCCAGCACAACCCTGTGCCTGTCATTTCTTATCTTATTAACTTCATGTGTGTGAGTCAATGGATTGAACAGAACAATTTATGCGCCCAAAGATCTGACTCTACATGCCAGTGAGATGCTGCCACCCAGAGTGGGTACAGACCATTTCTATGTGACTTACATCTGTGTTCAGACAAAAGGGATGCTCTCTAGATTCTTGCTCTCTCCAGCTGCCCTAGGCAGGTTTGTTTCTCTATAAGCTCCACAGCTGTTTCAGTTGTTTGTGTAAAGTATCTTAATGCATGGGGATCACTTCAATATGCAAGCTCTATTTTCATTACTGCACTATTGGGACAATAAATAAAAGAGGCTGCATGACCAAAGCCATTTTATTCTGGAAGAGACTTATTTATTTATTTATAAAGAATAAAGCAGTGCTTAGAAATTAAGGACTGAAAAGGCTGAATACATAAGGAATTCATCACAAAAAGTGAAAACAAAACAGAAGAGGAGGAAACTGCCCCAAATGGCACCATCCCTTTAAACAGTGCTTTAGTAGTCACATTCTTTTCAACGTGCATTTCTTGTCTTAGCATCTCTCTTACCTTCTCAGTTGTCACAGGCTAAACTTCCCTCAGATAATAAGAGATTATGAGGGAAATCTATGAACTTGTTTTTAACAAAACTGTAGTATTTTCCTTCCAGCAAATGCTACATGTAGTGTTTCATATACAGAAGATGAAAGGAATGCCATGCAACTTCATGTACCGTGTATCTGTTCGTTGTAGGGAGTTGGACAAGGTGACCTTTAAGAGTCCCTTCCAACTCAGATCATTCTGTGATTCTATTATCTCCTTGAGCCCAGGTGTCTATCAATTACTGCACATTTCTGAAGCAGGGGGATACAGGAAATCCTAGGCCTTTGGATGCAAACAGCACAAACAAAGCGAAGACACTAAAAATCTGAAGAAATCCTGCAAAATCTCGTTGACAGCTTACACTGGATCATTAAAACTATGAAGATTATTCCAATCAAACAAACCTTTTTCCTCACTCTGTCCATAAATAACAGGTAGTCAAGGGATTTACTGTTTTGTCCAGTTCCTGGCAAGCTGCAATCAATGTTTCTTAAGCTCCTTGAAAAGGAGGCTGCTTTCTGCGCGGTGTTTTCTTGCCTGCTAGCAATTGCTCAGAGGTCATGTTTTGTCCTCAGCCACAGAGGTACATTTCCCGTTGATTTCAGTGGCAGCTGCACACCTATTTCTGAGAAAAGGTTTAACAGACAGCGCTACTGTTTAGAAATTGTAGTTCACTTTCATTAAAGAAAGAGAAAAAGATAGGTGCAGGGAATACATGAAAACCAGACTTACGATTTTGAAAGATACAAAGAAGACTGAACATTTTTCAAGCACAAAATCCTCACGCACTGCTGCATGGTGCAGAAAGCACTGACTGAAACCAGTGGAGTGAGCAGAAGGAAGGGCAGTCACAGCTGTGAGCATCACTATTTTGGGTGTAGGGAAAGGTAAGCTATGGGTGAGGCAAGTGTGCCTGCCCTTGCTTTGGTTTGGTGCATCCCCTGACACCGAATTTAGATTTGTAACAGATATGAGTCACTCCCTGGAAGTGGAGTACCGGAAAACCAGTACTTAATCCCAGCATTTATTCAAAACTAAAAATATGGATAGATGGAAAATAAACATCTCTCTCCTTTTGTTGTCTACCATGATCTGAGAACTTTGTGCTATTACAGGTTTATGAAGCGCAGTGCAATACAAAAAGAAACAGGCTTAAAAGCCAAGGATTGAAACAACATAATAACTAAACCTGGGAGAGACAGTGCCACATGTATGTGAAGAGCAGAAGTAACCTTGCTGAACAAAGCTGGAAATCTCTGCTGAATAAAAAATGGAAATGGGGTGTGTGAATATTGTCTAATTTATCAGTGTTCAAGGTTACTAATCAGCTGGGAGTTCTAAAGGTCAACAAAGTCCAATGAGACATCTTGGTGACCTTCGCTGTCATCCACTTTCACCCTCCCCCTTCCTTATCTCCATTCTGTTCAGTCAAGCCACAAATTAGTAGCATGTTTTTCATTTTATTTGAAAAATAAATCTATGTATTATTAAAAATTTATGTCTAATTTGAAGGCCTAAATGTCCACCAGATAATACAGTCCATAAAAAATATATATTCTATTTCTGTATTTCTGAACAATGCAAGTACATTGTGTTCTTTTAGTGGCCTTTCATTATTGATACACTGTTTGCTGTAGTAGAATTCAATAACTTCCATAAAGGAATTGTCACCTCTCTGCAGAGTAATTGGCCTAAGTTAATTGACTTACAGATACAAAGGCAGAAATGTCTTCAGTTACAATGCTGAATTCAGTGCTGGGGTGAAACAGGATGACAAAAAGCAGCAGTGTTGGTAAGCTGTAGAAAAGGGAACTAGCTGTGCTGCTGCCCACTTCTAGCACTCAAAAACTGGCTGGGGAAAGAACAGAGGTCTGGCTGCCTCAAGCCTCCTTATCAGCATGCCTTTGCTCTATCATCCAACTTTTCCAGCCCAACTGGTGGAATATGGTCGTTTAGCCACAGTTGAAATGCACTGCTTCTTTCTAAGGAATGAAGAAGTGGATATTTAGGTGGGGAGCACTGTATAGCTGCCCACAGTCAGTACCAGCATAGGCTTTTCACAAAGTAGACACAGCAGCAAAAGCTTCAGATATAGAGGTGGATGGGGCAGCTCCTGAGCCCTCTCCATGCCCATGGGGAGTCTCACCTGGAGTAGGTGGTTGGTGTGTGTGTTCCAGTGCAGGATGCTCTGGACAGACTGAACTTGTGGGTCTTCTCTGAAGTGCAGGAGTCCCTGTGCATCACTCAGCTTGCATGCACTCAGCGCAGCACTCAGCTTGTATGGCCTCCCTCCTTTTCTCAGACAAAAATAGCAGTAGCTTTAGTTCAGCTAGTTATTTTTTAATGGTGAGACTAACTTACAGGCAAATGCAGTTTAACTTGTCCCCAGACCAGTTAATAATTTAAGTTCAAAGTCACCAGATAGCTTTTGCCACATATTTAAGGAAATGTTTCAGAGAAATACGAATAGGAAGTAAGTAGGAAGACTTGAGCAGCTTTGGCATCTGCTGAGTGCACAGCTTGTGGAGAAACGGCTGTTCCACTGTGGTCCCACTGTGGTCCCAGGGAGGTCCCACTGCATCTTCTGCCTGAACCAGAGCAGCAGCACCACCATGTTCCACATGTTCACAACCTCAGCAAGCTGTTGCTATTTTAACTACTAATTAAAAATGTAAAATTTCTTGTTGCTTTAGTGTGGTGGCCAAATCTCTGCCCTAGGAGGAAAGACAAAGAGCATAGCTGGGTTTCTCACTAAGAAGAGATTTGGAGAGGGCCTGCAAGGAAAAAGACCATGTTGCAAACTCCTGTCCATGTGAATAGTCATTAGTATGTCAATATTTCGCTTTTGAGTTTTTTCTTTCTTTTGTTTTTTGTTTGTTTGTTTGTTTTCACAATTGTCATTCTAATTAAAAAAACAACATTTATGTATATATTTAAATTATCGGTTGTTAACATCACTTACACATCTAGATCTACACTAATCAGTATTTTCTGACTGCCAGTTTGCAGTCTGGAAAATGCCAAAGAGACATTATTTAATATAACAGATTTTCACCCTTCATTCTACTCATCTGTTCATACATTGGGTCTCTAATGTGAAACTTTAATTACTTCAAACTGTAAGAATCTATTGATCACATAATTTTTCATCCATAAAAGAGCCAAACTCAATTACTGTTCTTCATCTTAAAATCAGTTTTTATCAGTAATCTCATTTTACTATTTTAGACTTGAAGTACATTTCCTCAGATGTCATTTAAGTATCAACAGCATTGCTTGGAATTGTAAAAGAAAATTTTTAAGGACTTATTTTAGGACTGAGTCATGTTAAAAACCAAAGTAAGCAGAAGTGCATCAGCACAGCTAGAACATCCATCCAAATAGAACAGCAGAAACAATGTACTGACTCAAGTGCAATTTCATGGTGGGGAGGGAATGCAACTTCATTCATTGGGGTGAGGAACAAAACAGAAAACAACCAGTAAAATCACAAATACCTGCTCTTAATGACCACTGACATGATTAAAAAAAAAATAAAAAAAATTTAAAAAAAAGTAGCTTTTTGG